AGGAATCGGGGCGGGATTGAAGCCAATCTGCAAACAGATCAAGGGCTCTGTACGATCGCTAGAATAATTAGCGAGGCCCACGATGACTTCCATCGAATACTTCTGTTGTGTTCGGAGGCCAGTTGGCGGCGATGCCATAGGCGAAATATCGCCCAGCATATATGGCTCGAGCATTCGAAACTTGCCGAGCACATACGTGCTAACGGACTGCCAGAAGCCCATCCGTGTCACTACCTCCCTGAGGAAGACGACGGACTGGCAGCAGCATCGCACACAGCTGCGATTGGCACGACTGTGCCAGCAGCTGAGCCCTCGGATAGTCGAGCGGCGGAATCCAAGGCCTTTGCTCTCACCCCAGATGGGGAAGACGCCATCGGCTCTAATGTCGATGCTGGCTACATGGCCTCGCTCCTGGATTACCACAAAGCCCCTGTCGAAGTACAGCTGGGGCTGGATGCTGCCATGAAAACTGAATGGCAGAAGTACACTGAATTCAACGCAGTGGTCCCTTGCACAGACAAGGAGTTCAAGGAGCTTACAAAGGCTGGCCACGTGTGTATCCCCACCAAATGGGTCCTCACCGATAAGAATGAACACCTAAAGGGGACGCCAGCATACACTCCCAAGTGGAAAGCACGCTTGGTTGCATGTGGAAACTTCGAGCATATCTCGAATGAGGAGGATATCAGGGCAGACAGCCCCACGGCTGAGCCGGAAGGCATAGCCCTTCTGTGTTCATGGGCGGTTTCATTGGCCCTGCGGCTCAAAGCAGCCGATATAACGAACGCATACTTCCAAGGGAAACCCCTTGAGCGCCTTCTCATTCTTCGGGTTCCTAAACACCCTAAGGGTGTACCCGATGCAGAGATTCAGCGAGCCGGGCATATGATTGCCCGAGTACCCGTGTATGGCACGACCGACGCGGGTCGGAACCTTTATCTCCGCATAAAGGAGAGTGCCCGCGAATTTGGCTTAAATGCCTCGCAAATTCTGTCAGCCCTGTACTATATTACAGGAGAAGGTGGTCGTTTGTGTGCTTGCTTGTGCACCCACGTGGATGATTTCCTGTGGGCTGCTACCGCCGAAGGCGAGCCGGCTATCCAGAATCTGCTGGATAAGTTTAAGATCGGTCGCATAGAGACTGAGAAGTTCCGTTTCTGCGGACGCGAGTATGTGCAAAGCGCCGATGGGACCATCAGTATAAACTGTAGGGACAACACGCGTGCAATTCGCCCGATCGATATTCATAAGTCTGAAAAGGGCACGACTCCAGTCTCGAATGGCCAGCGCACAGCGTTGAGATCCGTCATAGGATCGCTGGCTTGGGTGGCTCGCGCCACGAGACCTGATCTTGCCTATAGGGTGAATGCCCTGCAGCAGCGTGTTACGACAGCCACGGTGGATACACTCCGTGAAGCAAACCGCGTAGTAGCACTGGCGTTAGGAGATGCGGATAGGCCGATCACGTACAGCGCTAAGTTACCCTGGAATACAGGAGAGCTGGCGATTGTCACGTTTTGCGATGCCTCCTTTGCAGGAGAGGCAAACCATAAGTCGCAGAGAGGTCGTTTCCACTACCTCACTTCCGCACAGTCGGCGGTGGACAAGAACGCGTCAACGCATGAGATGCACCTCATCTCGTTTTCCTCGTCCACCATGAAACGGGTTTGTCGCGCCACACTCCAGTGTGAGGCTTACTCGTTGCAACATGCGATAGAGCATGGAGACCGCATTCGAGCAGCGGTGCTCGAACTGCTCGGCAAACTGCCCCGGTCACAGAACTGGGAAGAAGTCGCCAAGAGATCGATGTTCCACCTGCAGTATACGGACTGCAGGTCCCTTTCGGATCACTTGACTGCGTCGATTCCAAAATCATGCGAGGATAAACGCCTTGCCATAGAGATGTCTGGACTCCGCCAAGGACTTTGGGAAGAGGACGAGCTAACGCACGCCTTGTACCATCCTTACGGCGATGAGTTGAGATGGATACCGACGCATTTACAACTTGCGGATTGTTTGACCAAGAGTATGAAACCGCTTTTGATCAATCACAGCATTGATCGCAATCTCGTTCAGGTGCTCGATGTGCCCGCGCAAGCCGCACAGAATGTCGAGAGTACCTAAAGCACTCCGCTTTACGATCGAAGAACTCAGCCTGGAGCCTTGAGTTGCCGCACTCGGCTCGGTTGACTGCGCAAGCTCCCGGTATAATCCGGTGGAGTAGGCTTGGCCCAAAGTGGTCATAATTCGAGCATGATTCGGACGTCACACTACAGATAAGACGGGTGTGAAATTTCCCTGTCTTGAAGCGCCGTGTTGACATGTCCTCATGCGTGGATAGTTTTTGAGACAGTTCTGAACGCACCCTGTACGACAGACGTCTTGGGCTCAGACCAAAAAGTGCGCTCGTTGTGTGGTTGGACACTCACTAATCCAGTTCCTGCTTCAAAGAGATGTTGCTGGTGTGCAAGAGATCTATTTTTTTCCTTAGCTCGAATTACTCTCCCAATGGTCACGCTGTGTTGCCGAGCGATGCGGTGCTGCAATCTTAGCGTTCCCCACAGCGGGAGATCCCAGAAGCTCTGGTACGGCAGGGCACAGTGCGGCTCTTTGAGAAGAGCTCGCAGGACCCGCACGTGACGCCGTAGTCTAAAGTCTAAAGCTGCTTCCTTCCATCTATCATCCTGAAGGAGCATACAGACCCTCCTCGTGATGACAATGAGGCATTGCGGCACGGTTGGAATGTGGAGCTAAAAGAGGAGTCCGATGCCACACGTCAGGACGATGTGCGCATTGCAGGTGAGCCCAAGGAGACTGGGCTCGAATTCTACCTCGCCGGTGTCTGTAGGGTTCATGGAGGTTCTTTCGCCTCGCGTATGTTGCACACGCCCCATGCCACTATTCGGATCTGCATGGCTCTCCGCCCTTGTCCGCCTGGCATGCCTAAAGGAACCGGAGCAAGCTGCCCATCCCACAGAGACAGACGAGGTGCCGCTCCAGCCAGCTGCAAGAACTTGAAGTTTTTGAAGCAGATCAGGACACCGTGCAAGTGGATAAGGATGACAAGGAGAGCTCTCAGGAGATGTGGGAGCTATCGTCGCTGTGAAGCCTGTTATTCATGCGCGGGACTCACACCGATGTAATTTTGTGAGGAGCATTTGCGCTCCTTTACAGGTGCCCCTGAGGCAGACGAGGCACGGCAAGAATTCGTTTTGTGACGTCTTGTCTGACCTGTCCTCCGGCCGTTTTTTGTCGAACATCCGCCGTGATTGCAGGATCTTGTCCAGGTCGCAAATGACGTGCCGGAGAGAGTGCAGGTCCAAGATGCTTGCGCTATGCTTTCGGCTTCCAGCTGGATCGGATGGATTTGCGGGATCGCAGTATCAGTCATCAAGAACCTTGCTTGATGTGCAGGAGCAATCCACTAGCTCCAGCAGCACAGAGCCGGATGAGGCTCCAGTAGTTGGCTGGGATACCGCTCGCCACCGAAGTAATTGTTTCCTCAGGTTGTCGTGAAGAACGTCGCAGTGAGTGATCGTGTGGCACAGTGTGTTGAGACAGGACATCATACGGGTGGCAAAGGATGCCCCGGAGAGCCACCAGGATTCCCCCAGTTTACATTGGCACCAGCATCGGAGACCAGCGTCTTCAGTGAAGCCTCCTTGTTCCAGGAGCTCTCCGCGCGGTCCAGCAAGGCACAACCAGATGAGGTGCAACCAATCCCAGACATCATGCCACCCCATTGTTGCTCTTTGACAGGACACCGTGCAGGTGCCGAGTGACGCGGACAGCCCGCAGGATCACGCCTCCTGCTTTCCAGCATAGCTTTTTGTGTCGAGAACAGCCGATCGGAGCAACATCGCCATCGCGGATGAAGGAACCCTCTGCACGAGGCAACGCCAATGCCGAGCTTGAGAAGGCCACGCCAGCCCCCCCAGTTGGTAGCCACTGTCAACCAAGCGGCTGCAGCAGGACACCGTGCAGGTGCCAACAGACCCTCCCGAGAGCTCGCAGGAGCATGTTGAGCTGCATGGTCGGCTGAGCAAACTAGTGTGGCTGCATGAGCAAGGGTGGTCAACAGCATGCTTCTTACAGGAGATGTCCACAAGCCCGACAGACAAGGCCGGGCAGTGTGCTGCTGTGTCTGGAGCAAACGTTGCATCCATCCGTGAAGACTTGTTGGAACGTAACCGTAACCACTAAGAGGGAAACGAAGCAGCCGATGCTTCCGGTTTTGTCGCCAGCCTTCCGGGCTCGAGATTGGCTTCCATGGCTGAGCCCCAGACTGTACTGGTACCTAGGGCAACCGTTGCGGATGCAAAGAGCTGCGGCACGCTGTCGCTTTGGGCGCAAGTTAATGAGCGCTTAGGTTTTCACGCAAGCCCACCCGTTGAACAATTGAATAAACCTTCGGCAATGCTGTTACATCGCAAACGCATATGTTGAGCGTGAGTACGTGGGATGGTGGAGCACGGCTCAGAACTGACAACGCTTGTCCCAACTGCAACACCGACCATGTGAATCCGCCGTCGCAGCAAGCAGCGACTTCTATCCTTAGCCGTGCGGGGTGGAATATGCTAGGAATAGCTCTCGCCACACGACGTTCGGCAGACACAGTCCTGCAGGCGACGAATGCGGGCGAGGTGGCAAGTGAATCTGTGCAAGCCTTGGGTCGACTTGCGGCCGCCCGTGGCCTTGAGAATTTGTCTGTGGCAGAGGCCCCAGCCCCAGGGCCGGCCGAAGCGCTGAAAGCTGAAAGCGAGGCCGGGCATGCTGAGCGACAGGGCTCGGTGTTCCTTTCCTCGTCGAGTGGAGCCTGTTTCAAGCAGGTGCTCGTGAAACCGGAAGCAAAGGAGGAGCGTGGAGCGTGACACGCCCTCGATCTGCGAACAGCAGACTTTCGCTGTCATAACGCAGGAATCACACCCAGAGCCAGCTCCCTCGAAGTGCGGCCCTTGGCCCATGGGATTCGGCGTGTGGCTCCACGAAGCCAGAGGCCCATGGACGTCCCGGCTGTGGAAGGCTTCAATGCCGTGCAGGTCCGGGACTCTGGGAGTAGGCTTTGGCCCAGTTGGCTTCGGCTTTTGGGCTCTCGTCGCAGGAGCTGCCCACCCGCCGACCCGCGAGCGCAACCCTGGCGCCCATTCCCACACAGCGCTCCGGCAAGACAGCACGGCGTTTCTTCGGAAATTTTGGAATCGCCTGCTCCGTTCAGGCCGGTGCCCTCGGAGCCAGAGGCATCACACTTGCAGTGTTCATAAGAGCGGTTCCGACCTTCTGAGAGAATATGCAAGATTGGAGTCGTGTCTCAAACTCACGAAACAGATTTCAGAGCCCCACTTTTTTCTTTGAAGCACTGTTCAGATTACCACCAGCCAGCAGATGTCAGGCAGGGCGCTTGCAGGAAGAACCTGCTGGTGAGTTGCAGCCTCAGTTGGTTTGCATATTCTTTGCCATCTTCTTACTGTTGGAAGTGCAACACATGAGGACTGCTGCCAGCAGTGCAGTTTCCCAACGGGCTGGGCACGTCGCTGGCCTGGGAAATGAAGCAGTGTGAGTTCATCAGCATGGTAACTAACGTCTTGGGCTCCTGATTAGGTGGCCGCTGAATCGGTGCTGAAGCCACTCGCCCTTATCTTGAGCATGTTGGGGTCGTGGGAAACTTGATTTTGTGCACAGGCGTATGGAGAAAGCTCGGGACCAACCGTCGCCGGAAGACCCTGCAGAGGCGGCCAGTGCCTTGCGAATGTGCCACGCGTTTTTGATGACGGCATATGCAGCAGAAAGCCTTTGCTGTAGCTTGCGGCATGGTGATGGTCCCTGCCACTCCTCGGGCTCGTGGTTTTCTCTTCGTCATGCAAACTTCCTTCTATTTTGGGTGGGAAAGGAAGTGCTAGACGGCTAGACATCAAAGCAACGCGATTACACGCTTCACTTGCAGCTCTGTTGAGACCGCGCTGCAGTGCACTTCGCCGAGTTTCGGAGGCCGTTGTATCCAAGACAGAGTCTGAACAGACGTGGCTTGCTCGGAGTTGCCTTTGAGCAGGGCATCCAGCCGCCTTGAGCCTTTTTCTCAGGTCCGTCAGGATACAAGTGGCAGATGTGGCAGTGGCGGTATCGGAGAGTGCGTCCAAAGAGACGGGGGAGGTGGGACAGAGCAATGACAGAGTGACCTGCACCAACTGTTCTTCCTGTAGGTGCGGGCGGAAAGTGCGGAAGGCTCCCGAGTGCCAAAGTTTGATCCCGAGCAGTGGTACCAGTAGGATGCAACAAAGAAATTGCAGTTTCCAGTGTGCCTCTACAGGCCCGAGGATGCCTCCGTAGCGGTTGAGGCACCTTTGCCGCCAAAGGCCACGACACTGCGATGACTTTCAGAGCGGGAGCTACTTCGTCTCTGCCATCGCAGGTTGCGGCAGCATCGCCTGAAGCTTTGTCGATCCCTCAGTACATGTAGTCAGCAGAGTCGCCTTGGTTGCAAAGAATCCCGGGCTGGGGTTTGTATGCAATTGCACCAATCATGCAGGCCCCCAGCGGTGCCCGACACCACCACTTCGGCGCCTTCCGTTGAAGCGGAAGGGCCCGGGCCTCGGGCCCTAGCCGAGGAGCCGAGGAGTGGAGCGGGTATTCGGATCTCAAGAAAATGTCTGACTTCGCCAGGCCGCCTGCGGCCTCCGAGGCCAGGCCCCCCCAAATCCCTCGAGGCGTCCTGGGTCCTGGTCCGTTTCTGATCGCACCGAGGTCCACTTGGAAAGCGCAACGAGGCCGGCCACCGATCCCTTCCGTCACATCTTTGTTGAGTTCCTTTTCGAGGGCACCTGCAGAGATCCATCAGCCAGAAGCAGAGCCTGTCTCGATCGGCCAGGTGGCGCGGGGTTACCAGTTCTTGTGCTGATTCAGTCTGTCTCCTCATCTTGGTAAGCTATCAACACCAGGCTGTCGAGACTAGGGCAGAGATCAAGGCAGAATCGCGCCGCCCTTACATCATGCTATCAGGGGTGAAGCGCGGGATCGAATAAGACTTAGTGTTCAGGACTTCACTCAGGTATAAACGTCTTCTCATCTCTGCTACCTCCGCTTCTGCATATCATAGCAGATTCATAAGCCACTCATAGCCTCTCCCCCCAGCTGCTCGCTCGCCAGTGTGACTGTCGTGTCTTGCACCCTGAAGTTCTTCCACTGTGGCTCCGGGGCTTTGTGTGCTGAGTAACACCAATCTGCTTCGTCTCTTGTGGCAAGTCTGCCCGGGCATATTCTGCTGCTGAAATCGATACACCCAGAGTGAGAAGCTCCGCCACCCGAAGGCCTGGAGCCGGGAGTCCAGTCACGGTGCAGACGCAGGCGCGCTGTTGTGTGCGTGCGTATTGCTTGCACAGGCTCGTCCACGAGCGCCCGTTAACGGGTCCAGGGATTCTCTGTCGAGCGTGCTTCGCCGCTTTGCTTTGCTGCAGGCGATGCCGGATCCCGTGCAGCAACCTCAGGGATGCGGAGAGACACAGGTCAAAGAGTGTTGTCTTCAACTTCCGCAGGATCGACTCGTCCACAGCCCCGCCGGTGCTCGTGGAGGTTGGGATCACATTGACATCGGATTATGCTGGAAGATCTGATGAAGACTCACTACTGACGGTGGTATCCAGGGATCTGAGACCATTTCGAGTGGAGCAAGCAGCATGAAGTCTCCCAAGCCTGATTCTCGGTTCAATCACGCCACCCCGCCAAGTCGTCAGTCTGAGCAGAGAAGTCGATGCACGATTCAAGGCCTGAGACCGGCGAGGTCACAGTGGCAGACAATTTTCCAGAGGCATGTCGCAGCTCAGCCACCTCGTCTGGCAGTGTCTCATGAAAGGCCTCTGCAGATGTTCGCGTCGAGTCAGAAGATGTACAGCCAGATCCTCGAGAACTGCCCTGTGTGCGGACTTGTGACTGACATTGGCAATGGTAATTGCGACATGCTACAAATTTCTGTAAGACTTTGCAGGCTGACGGATGACGCCGCTCTCCGAGCATGAACGACCGAAGTACAGATCAGATGAATCGCTCCTGGTCAGCATGGACGCAGGCTGCTCAATCTGCGACCTCGGTGCCAGCAGTCCGACGCTTGACAGTCGCAGGGGAACCGTCTCTCTTCGGAAGCGTCCTGGCCAGGATGGGACGATTTTGCAGCAGGCAGAAGGTGCCATAACGCGAGCAGAAGCAGGCCTGGGAAAAGGTGGAATGCGCATCGCTGAGACGTGACGAGCTTCTCAGGACTTAAAGAAGCCGAGAAGGAGAGATTCGCGTGTTTCCATGTATCCTCTTTCTGTTTCGCTTGCGTTCACAGTGGAACAGGAGCTGGTACAGACAGGGGGCCAGGTGCTCGAGCAGGTGAACGAGCCTGCTTGTGTGCTTCTTGTGCGTGCGCTGAGTGTGGAAGAGTGAGCTCAGCGGCAGCTTCAGACAGGTGCAAAAAGCAGCTGCTTCCGGGCAGGAGGTGCTTCACGAAGTAGAGGCTCAACGATCTACACCACCAGAGCCGGCAGAACAAGTCATCGCGCCGGAAGGAAGAAACCTCTGCAGTCGTTCAAGCAGTCGAGAAGGCAGTCGTCGGCACTGGTGTCACTGGTCAGATGCTGTCAAAAGAGGCACGTATTGTCCTTGCGCTGAGTTCTGTCGGACCTGGCCTTGCGCCTTACGCTAGCTTCAGGCTGACGAAGTGACGATAGCTTCACCAAAGTGAGTGGAGCAGATTTGATTGAAGAACAAAAGAGCTAGTGTTTTCCTGCGCATCGCTGTAAACACTGTTGATGTCTGAAGCAGGCTGTCCCAATGCCTGACACCTTGTGAGCACGCTGTATGCAAAGAGTTACTCAATCTCTTGGGACGACTGTCTTCGGCATGCCTTCTGGCTGCTGCGTCGTTTACATTGCCCAAGCCGCAGAGGGCTGAGGGCATAGTGTAGGCCCAGGCCACATTGGACATAATGCAGCATGGCTTCCTGTGGCCGTCAGAACCGGCGACGGCCTCGTTGCCAGCGTGTTGAAGCGGATGCGGTCCTTGGTTCTGAACCTCATCAGCCTCATCGTCCAAGTCATTGCCTATGTTCCTGGAAGCAGACCGGTTTGTGTGGACTTTGATGCATGGGACAGGCGCACGACGGAAAAGATTTTCATGAATTTCCAGACTTCGGAGGCAGCTGACGCGGGCTGGGCCACGCGGGAGGCCGAGCGTGCGGCAGAGGCCGCGATCCTGGAGGAGCTTGAGCTCAGCCGTAGCGATGCGGCCCAACTGTGGAGGCAGGTGATTTCCTGGCCTCTTGTCTTTTGTTTTTTTTGCTGAGGGTGCTTAACGACCCGGCTGCAGGCTGCGTCAGCGTTTGGGTGACGGCAGCTACAACCCTGCATGGTTGGCGGCCAGACGATGGAGACTAACTGCTGGAAGGTTTTATGCCGTCCGCAGGGTGGGAAAGCACAGAGAGTTGGCCAAAGGCTGGTTGGACCATTGGTGGTATCGAGGCCAAGAGAGGTTGAACCACAAGATCAACAGGTCACACGACTTCGAGGATCGCGTGCTTCGCAAGTACCGGCAAAAGCATGGAAGCGGTGTTCAGGAAGTGGGCCTCTTTGTCCATCCCGAGCTCCCCTGGCTTGGTGCGTCGCCAGATGGACTCCATTGCTCCGAGGATTCCGAGGGAGGCGAGCCCCTTCACCTCATCGAGATCAAGAGTGCCAGGACCCTCCTCGGTGCGAGGTCTCCAGCCTGGCACCAGGCGCTAGGAGGTGTAGGATGTAGCAGCTGTCCCAGCGCAGAGTCCAGAATGGTGTTCGCAGGTGCAAGGTGCCATGGCCGTTGCCTCGGCCGCGCTGGGAACGCCCATCAGGAGCTGCAAGCTGATCGATCCCGTCGAGACGTACAACGTGCCTTTTGGAGTTTGTGCTGGGAACGCTTCTTGCACCCATTCAAGTGAGATGTCAGGAGATAGTTTCTTTCCGTGATTTGCCAGGTGCGCTTTGATGAGGGATGGTGGTCGAGATATTTGCTGCGCTTGAAGAGATTCTACTTCGGAACCTTCCTCCCAATGGCAGCAAGGCGCATGCTTCGGAAGTGGCAGTGGGCGGCAAAAACGGCCCATTGATGGGAATGCAAAGCTGGCTTGAAGACCATGAAGCTTGTATTCTTGAACAGTGTCCTCGCACAGCATTGCTTGGGATCATGAGTTCGACAACAACAAGACCCATGCAATAAACACCGGTGTTTGCCTTGATGCGCGGAGCTCACGATTGGCCATATTGTTCCGAATGACGCCCTTGAAGCTATCAACGTCTGGAAGTCCATTCGGCTGTCACGTTCCAAGCATGTTCGGCGGCGTGTCGGGGTGAGCGGTGAGGCATCCGAAGGCCTTTCAGCGTGCTACCTCCAGGTGGACTGGCGCCCTTCTCGGACAGCGACGGTCCGACATCGCAAGACTTTGCGTTGCAGAGTGAGAGAGCATGGCAGTCCAATGGCCAACGGACCAAAGCGTCCAGCGGCATCTAGGCAGAAAAGAGGCAGTCACGAAAGCTAGCTCTGTTGAGCTTGCGGGAGTTGTCCTTTAGTAATTCACCTTGTATTAAGGCACCGGGGAAAAAAACAGGGTTTGCACCTTATCAGGTGGGACGTCCAAGAGTTAAGGTCGGGGGTGGGGGGGGAGTGGGTGCCGCCCCCCCCCTCACCTCGTTCATGAAGTATCTTCGAAGGATAAGGTGCAGCGCGCTCCCCTCTCCCCTCCCTCCTTGAAGGTTGCGGCGCGTGGCATAAGGTAGAGGGGGCGGGGCCCTCCCCCTACCCTCAAGTCTCTCCCCCTCCCCCCCTCGCAAGGTCCCTCAGTTTGCTTCTCGCTGCGGCTTGGCTCCAGCTCTTCCGTCTCTCTCGTGGCTACACGCCTTTTTTTCAGTTGTAATCTTCATGTCAAACGTCCCCCCCGTGCAAGTCATTCGCATCGCCTCACTAGTCACCCCGTGTTCCCAGCTACGCTTCCTTTCCCCCAGCTTTCGTCGCCCTCTTCTCAAGTTGGTTTGGAAGATGTGGGGAGGTGCAAAAGGCTCCTTTCCAAGGCGAGGTCAGGTGATGCAGCATTTGACACGCCCTGTCGGCCACCGGCCACCAACTCCTGGTTATTTCCTGGTCGTATGTGCCTTTGATCCGGGCTGCGGCCGGTCACATGGATGAGGCAGCGGTTCCGCAATGGCGAGCCGACCCACGTGCTTCGGGGTGGTGGGAGAATGTGCGCGGCGCCTTTGCGGAATCCAGCCCAGTGCTGGTCCCCATCTCGTCGATGCATGCGTCGCGGCATCTACCCACACAAACGAGTGCTGAAGCCGTTTTGGTGCAAGAACGCTGTTTCAAGTCATTTATTTGACTGCCTTCACCCCCACACTGTTGTGCTGGACGCATGGCACGTTAGCTGGCGAGCGGATGGAAGAGCTTGCTCCAAGAAGCGCTGGCGACAGAACCGCTCGCTCCGCGGCTGGCAGCCCGCAGAACCGCAGACACGTCAACACACAGCGCAAGCAAACTAGGACGTAGATTCAAATCTCAGGCTCGCCAGACATGCCACGCAAGCACCATGCGTCAGTTTTACAATTTTTGTTTCTGATTTTTCAACATGCCAGTCCCTTGTGCCTTTGGCCCAATTTGTTCTACTTTACGGGTCTTTTTGGGACTTGAGTTCCCGCGGTCCTTGGACAGGAGCACAGGAAGGTTACTCTGCTTTGTCCAGGTCAGCGCCTCCCCAAGCTCGAGTCCAAGGCTGCAGCTCCAAACCACAGCAGCAACATGCAGCAACCAAGGCGATGCACCCCGCAGTTGCAGCCACATGCTGCGCCAACAGAAGCGGAAGATCAACTGCCGGTTCTCGAGACTTCAACGTCATTTTGAGGCTGCAAAACTTCGCAGATGGCATGAAAACAAGTGCTTGCCGTCGAACGTGAAACATGACCAATGAATGCATTCAACAGGCGCCGCCTTCACCACGAAGCGGTGCGATGCGCGACAAAAACTTGAAAGGCCACATCACGTTGATGGCTTGCTCGGATGCCACCGCCTGGTGTCGACCCAACGACATGGCGGGGTCTCATCAGTCTCATCTTCGATGCGAACATATGCGGTTCCAAGAGCCTGGGCCAGGTCGCGCCGAGTCGCTCCGCCTCGTCGCACAACTCGTGAGGCGTCGAGCCCAGCGCGTTCCTGCCGCCCTTCGCAGCGTCGCTAGCCAGGGTTGGCTGAACGCTCTGCAAAGCACGCTTGCTGCAACGCTGCTTGGCACGCCTTACATCAACGGAGCCATACCTGGTTCCCAGCTCCCTGCGCTTGGGGACGTACTGCACGACGCAGTCCCTCCCACCCCGAGCCGCCTGGGCCCGTAGCTTGCAGCTGCACGGGAACATGGATTATTTTGGGCAGTAGGATGCAGTAGGAAAAGGTGCGCGGGAAAAAATCGAAGGTCTTGCCGGCACGCGACGTTTGCAAAAAGCGGGATGGCAGCGTCCGGGGCGTCGCTACTGGGGAGGCGTTTCGTCGCCTGGTGTTGTGAACCCTCGCGAAGGAGTGGGCGGGGGCCTTGGACCGAGCCATTCGCCTATATCAATTTGCGCTGCAGGCACGGGCCGGCACGGATGCTTTAGCAGCGCATGTCCGAGCCGCACTGGCACTGCGACCGGACGCGGTACTGGTCCCGCTTGACGGCCGCAGTGCATACAACTGCATCTTCCTGACCAAGCTGCACGACGTCGCGCCCGAGCCGCTGCGGTTTGTGCGTGTTTTTTTAAAGCGGCCCCTCCACCTGCAGCTAGTGGGACGACCAGGGGCGGTGCCGCGAAGCGAAGCAAGGCGAAGGCTGCGAACAGGGGAACCCATTGGCCCCTGCCTTGTTTGCCTTGCGTCAGCACGATGCCGCACGGCCTCCACCCTTCACCCGGACGACAGCTGGATCGTGTTTAGGGACGACCTCTACATCACCGCGACGCCCTCCAGGGCCAGGACGTCCTTGAATGCTGGGCATCGGCTCCAACTTGGGCAAACCACGAGCGGTAGGCGCAAGCGCGGGGCCAACAAGGCGTCGCGGAGCTCGGGGACGAAGTGTGGGCAGCGCGTCGTTGCCTGTGCGTGCGATGAACGGCGTATGAGACGCATCTTGCTGACTTCACTCCTGCCTCTCGTGTGCTGCTGCTGCTGCTGCTGCTGCTGCTGCTGCTGCTCTCGCAAGCAGGGCAATTTGCTTCCCACGCCCTCAACGTTCTGCCCACTCGCGATGACGTGGCCACCCCCAGTGCGCAGTTCCGTGTTCTTGTGCTGCGGCGCTCCCGCTCGCACCGCGCAGATGCAGCTGCCACGGTGTGCTCGACCCGCTCGGCGACCACCGCACCGCCTGTGCGACGTCGGGCGTGCTCGCCACCCGCGCAATGCCCTGGGAGCATGCCGTCGCGCGCGTCGGCCGTGAAGCTGGCGCGAGGGTCGCACGCCACGTGCGGCTCGCAGACATGAATCTTGATGTTCCTGTCTCCGACGACGCGCAGTCCCTCATAGTCCCTCCTACCCCAAGCTTCCTTGGCCAGTAGTGCGGAGGTAGCACAGGGACCCGGACGTCTCGTTTTGCAGTCGTCAAAAAGGTGCGAGGAAACCAAAAAGTGGTGAGGTGACCTGCGCTCAGATCACCGCGGCATTGTTGTGCTGGCCACTCCATTCGGGCACCGGAACTTCCCAGCGCCTGGAGGAAGAGGAGCGGCTACTCCGCCAACTGCCGAAGTTTCTCCTGGCTGCTTCTGCTGCTGTGTGCTTCCCTCCGTGCGAACCACGCCCTTCGCACGGTGCCACCTAGCCTACGCTCGGGCCCATGACCAAGTTGTGTGGTGCTTGAGCGTTTGCCTCAAGGGCGCAACCGAACCCGAAGCCCTGCATCGCGAGAATTGGCGCCAGCTTGCCTGCGCGGCCTGGAGCGCACAAGCCCTCCAGTGTACTGGACAGGTCTAGCAAATGCCTTGCTGGTTATCAGCGCCTGTCTGCCCGGGTTTGCCGAGCATTATCGGGGTGCACTGGAGTGCGGCGGTGCAGAAGCCTCAGTTTGCGCGCCGCTGCTGAGGCCCGCGAGCTCCTACAAACAGAAGTTGGGAAGCCTGCCCAGGTTGGCGAGAAATCCTCCAAGGAGCCGCCCGGCCCCGCCAGAGCACACTGGCCCCGGCGACTGGCCACATGGCTGGCAGTTTGATGCGTCGCGGACCCGTAGCCATTTTGGCTCAAGATTGCTCAAGCTCAAGATCGGTCGACCGTGTGTGAAACTTGAGGCCTGCTTTCTAGGCTTTCGGTAACGGTAACGTGGCGCGCTAGAACTGCTCCGGGGACCCCTGAACGCTTCAACCTTTTTGTAGCTTCCTCCGCGCCGCCATACGCTTCCGGTGTTGTGCATGCGACAGGTGTCGGTCACTCTGGGTGGTGTGCAAGTGACAGGCGTTGTGGAGCATGACTTCGTGCTCCTGCCGGTGGCCGACATTCTGGCGGCCGGCGGCTCACTCCAGGCTGGTCCTGCCCAGCCTGAGCCTGCTCCCAAGTCTGCGGCTCGCCCGCTGCCCCCGCCACCTCCGCCAGCCCCCCACCGTGACAGGCCGAGGGTGCCTCAACCAAAGCCACCTGCACGGCCCCGGCGAGCAGCAAGCAAACCCGCCGCTGCAACTCCTCCACGACCCCCGACGCACAAGTCAAGGGTCCGTGGCGGTAGTCGCTGGAACAAGCAAGCCAAACGCCAACGCAGGCGTTGACAGGCCTACTTGCCACCGTTGCACTTGTCCGCAGCTGCTGTGTTTTTTCCTCCTTTGCCAGGTCCCGGCGTCCTGGCTGGAGTTGCCTTTTGCCTCAGGTCGAGCCCTTAGTTTTCCGCTGTAAGGCTGCCTTTGCGGACGCTTTGCCAGGCCAGCCGGCTTGGCTGCATCCGCTGGCTGCTGCCTGCACCCGCTCACGTTTGAAGTGAAGCGGTGCCTTGTACCTTAGTGTATTCTATTGCACTGCGGCTTCGCTCCGCCGTGCCACGAGCAAAAAATCCTGGCTGGAGCTGCCTTTTGCCTCAGGTCGAGCCCTCGGTTTTCCGCTGTAAGGCTGCCATTGCGGACGCTTTGCCAGGCCAGCCGGCTTGGCTGCTTCCGCTGGCTGCTGCCTGCACCCGCTCGCGTTTGAAGTGAAGCGGCGCCTTGTACCTTAGTGTATTCTATCGCATTGCGGCTTCGCTCCGCCGTGCCACGAGCAAAAAGTTCTTGCCCGCGGTTGCTACAGTCATGTCGCGTCGCGCGCCTTCCCCGCCGCCCCTCACCGCTTCCCCCCTCACTGTCCCAGACAGCCCTTCACCTCGGTCCCCCCGTGGTGACCGCACGCCGCTGGCGCCTGTGATGGCCGCTCCTGCCACAGCTGAGCCCATGCCAATGCGCCTCCCCGCTGCGCTGGACAGCCCGCCGCCTTCCCCGCCTTCTTCACCAGGCGAGGGCGACGTCACACCGGAGTTCGCTTTGCCTCCGTTGGCATCGACCTGGAACCTGAGACACCTCCGCCGCATGACACGGCCTTCGCCGTTGTCCGCGACTACTCCACCCGCACCTTCTCGCGGGCAGACGCTCCTGAACCCGTGGAGCCGCTCCACATCCGCGCCGTTTGCTGCCGACGCCTCGCGGGGCCTGCCATGGATTTTGTTGAGCTGCCGGACGCTCGCATGCACTGGGCGCCGGTGCCGCAGCGGCGCACGGACGAGAGCGCTGGGTGTGTGGACGCTGCCCCTTTGCGCAGTCTCCCAGGCCGCTAGCGCTGGAGCTTGCGACCGCCCACCCGTCGACGAAGGCGCTCCGGCCGGAGCGACCGAGCACCCAACGCCGCACACGCACGATGGGCCCGCGCCCTGGCCGCCGCCTCACCGTCCCGACGCGCATGCATCTATTGGTAACCTCGGCCCGCCGCCACTGCCATTCCGTGACGGGACTAACTCGCGTGTTTATGTACCTCTTCTGCTCGACGCAGCCGGCCTCCTGCCGGCCGATGCGCAGCGCGCGTGGCGGACACATGCCCCAATCGGCGAGTGGTGGCCTGCCGCAGTCGCGGCCCTGCTCGCCCGGCCCTTCATTCCCGTGCGTGAGCTTTGCACAGCAGTGGAACATGTTTCCCAGGCCTTTCCACCGCAGGCCCTCGTCTCCAGCACACTCGAGCGCTTCTGGTCATGGGCCCCGCCTCGAGTCGCACAGGTCGCGTCGCTTGCAGAGGTCCTCCGCGCGATCACCTTGGCGGATGAAGGCCACTACATCGCGGCCCCTCTGCAGGAAGCCTTAATCGCACTCTTGGTCGGCGCGGCGGCCGCATCCACCTTGGAGCGAATCGTTGACCGCTTGCGTGCAAGCGAGCCTGGTGCCGCCTTGCTGCCCGCGCCAGCAGCCCCTGACTCCGCCGCTCCGTTGGAAGCACCCACACATGCGAGTGCCCCGCCCGAAGCCCCCGATGCTCCCGCGCCAGCGCAGCCACCCCTGCGGTCCCACGTGCACACCGATGCCGCAGCTCGGGCGGAGCAGCACCTCGCCTCCACCGCGCAGCTTGCCGCAGCCGCAGCTCGCGGCCGACGTCGCGGACGCGGGCGAGGGCGAGGCCGAGGCCGGCACGCCTCCTCGCCTCCTGCCGCCTCCCCTCCCGCTCCAGCCTCAGCGCCGGGAGACGGCCACGACGGCCCTCCCCTCGCATCCCAGGCGCCTGCCCTTACAACGGCAGCCCAGCGCCGCGTCTCTGCAGCCGAAAGCGGTCTGCTGACGGGCCTGGCTTCCCTTGACGGCGTCGATCTTCAGGACACTTTGCAACAGCGCCTCCTCACATTGCAGGGGGTTCCTGCGCGCCTCCGCGGAGCCCTGCGTACGGCTCTCCGCGCGGGCCTGCAGCTAATTGCCGACCGTGAGTCGCCAGCGCAGGAGCTGCGGGGCTGGAAGCTTTTCTGTCTGGCACCTCGCATGCTTCTGCAGCGTTCAAGCGGAGAGTCGCTCATCCCACCTGCGGAGCTCGATCGCCGCTGTGACCTCTTCGCACGCGGCGTTTGGCCAGAACTACTGCAGCTGGCATCGGGTTCCGCTGCTCCCCGGTCCCGCACGGGCATGCCGACGGACGACCTCGCTGCTCGCGCTTCCCGAGCTACAGCCCTTGTGCACATTGGCGAGCTTTCGGCCGCCGGTCGCGCGCTCGTTGCAGAACCACTTGCACCCGGCACCGAGGCAACCCTCGCCGAGCTGCGGGACCCTTCACGGCGCCCCCCGACTCCCTACGCGCCGCTGCCGCAAGACATTGCCACGTACCAAGCCGCCGACCCCTGTCCCTTCCCGCTCCCAGCGTTCGTGGCATGTCTGCGGTCCGCAAGGAGGGGGGCGGCAGCTGGACCGTCAGGGGCCACCAACGAGCATGTGCGTATCCTGCTCGACGACGAGGGTGATACCCAGCTTTTGCACCGCGCAGCCTGCCGCCTTGCACGTGCCGACCTCCCGCCGCCCGTTTTGGCTGCTTTGCGCGTCGGCCGGCTCACCGCGCTGCAGAAACCCAACGGACGCGGCGTCCGCGCCCTCGTCATCGGGGATGTCCTTCGGCGCCTGGTCGGCCGCGTGTTGGCCCAAGCGTTTGCGCCACACTTCCAACGTGTTTGTCTCCCGCACCAGTTTGGCCTGAGCACGCGAGCTGGCACCGAAGCCCTTTCCAGGGTGTTGCGAGCCGCCACAGAGCTCGATCAGCGTGCAACCGTGTTGTCCGTTGACGCCGTCGGCGCGTTCGACCACGTCTCCCGGGAAGCCATGCTCGGTGCCCTGCTCCGTCACCCTGACCTGCGACCGCTCGTGCCCTTCGCCCGTCAATTTTACGGCACGCCCAGCTCCTACACGTGGACAGACGACTCCGGCCGTAGCCACCTCATCGCTCAAGGCGAGGGTGGGGAACAAGGGGACCCGCTCATGCCAGCACTTTATGCCCTGGCACAACAGCCCGCCTTGTGCGAGGTCCAGGCCCAGCTGCGTGACGGAGAAGCCATTTTCGCGTTCCTCGACGACACGTACGTCGTTGCCCCCCCAGACCGCGTACGCCCACTGTACGATGCATTCCGCGCCGCCCTGTGGCGACATGCCCGTGTCGAGCTCAACCGTGGTAAAACCCGTATATGGAGTGCTGCTGGGGAGGAGCCGCCGGGAATCGCCGACCTGCAGAGTGACTCCGACGCTGTCGTATGGACAGGCGACTGGTCGCTTCGCCCTGACCAACAGGGCCTCCTCGTTTTAGGCACACCACTTGGGAGCGACGCATTCGTGCAGCGGCAGCTTGAGCTCAAACGGGCTGAACACGACAGACTGCTCACGCGCATCCCCGCCGTCGAAGACCTGCAGGCCGCCTGGCTCCTGCTACGCTTCTGCGCCTGTCCTCGGGCCAACTACCTCCTCCGCGTGTTGCCGCCTGCTGCCACTCTACCCTTTGCTGAGGCGCACGGCGGTGCTGTTGACAGGTGCCTGTTTGCCCTGCTCGGCTCTGCGGACGCCCCGCTCCCTGAGCTTTCCACGCGCGGCGCCCGTCTGCCACTGCAGTGCGGCGGGCTGGGCCTGCGAGCGGCCACGCTCGACCGGCACGCTGCGTACTGGGCGTCCTGGTTTGACACGTTGCCCGTGCTCCGGGACCGCGCGCCTGCAGCCGCAGCGCGATTCCTCGCGTTGCTCGCAGACCCTGAGGCCGGCCGTGTGCCGGTCGTCGCGGCGGCGGCCCAGGCAGCAGCTCACCTGGTCGGACAGGGCTTTCGCGCCCCTGCTTGGGACACCGCCCTCGGCAACGCCGCTTTTCCGCTTGACACGGCCGTCGAAGACGGCGATGGGGTTGACTACTTGCGTGGCTGGCAATGCCGGGCTAGCCGAGCCTGCGACGAGCGCGCGCTCGAGACGCACTTTACTGACCTTTCGCCTGCGTCTCGTGCCCTGCTGCTCTCCCAGGCCGGGCCACACTCCGGCCGTGTGTTTACGGTCCTCCCCACCTCCGACGATGTCACTATCCCCAGCGCACAGTTCCGGGTCCTGCTGCTCCGACGGCTGCGCCTTCCCTTAGCGCTCTGCCCCCGCACTTGCCGCTGCGGCCGCAGCCTCGACCCTCTGGGCGACCACCGAGCCGCCTGTGCCACCTCGGGTGTCCTCCCGACCCGGGCGCTACCGCTCGAGCATGCCCTTGCTCGTGTCTGCCGCGAGGCCGGAGCGCGTGTTGCGCGCAATGTTCGCGTCGCTGACATGAACATTGATGTGCCAGTCAGCGACGCCAGGAGGATCGAGGTCGTTTGCAATGGCCTGCCCCTCTGGCACGGAGCTCAGCTCGCCGTCGATGCGACCTTGGTTTCCCCGCTCACGCGCGACGGCCTGCCACAGCCCGCGGCCGATGCGCAACCGGGCGTTGCGTTAGCCCGCGCGGCGCAGCGCAAGCGCCGGCACACCTATCCGGAGCTGCTTCGAGCTCGCCGCTGCCGCCTCGTCGTGTTCGGCATCGAAACTGGTGGGCGCTGGAGTGAGGAAGCCGCGACCTTCCTCCGACTTCTCGCGCAGGCCCGCGCAGCCAGCGCACCTGTCGCCGTCCGCCGCGCTGCTCAAGCCGCTTGGGTGTACCGTTGGAGCGGCATCCTCTCCGTTGCCGCGCAGCGAGCCTTCGCCACTTCGCTGCTCGAGCTTCCCGCTGCCGCAGAGCTCGGTGCTGCTGGTGACCCACCCGCTTTGCACGAGCTCCTGGCCGACGCACGCTGTTAGCAGGCCTCCGCTAACAGCCGCCTCCCAGCCCGCCCTGCCTAACCCGTAGACAGCAGTTTGCACAGGGACCGGACCTAGTACCTCTGGTGCTGTCGCAAAAAGGTGCGTGAAAAAAAAAAAAAACTCGAAGCCAACATTTTCGCGACAGTCTGCTGTTGTTCGCTATGACGCCGGATGCCCGGGCGCTGGTACGATCCCAATCGGGGCCCCACGCAGGGTCGTGGCTCGACGCCATACCCGCAGAGCCAGCAACGACGCTAGTGCCCCAAGCCATGCAGCTGGCGCTCCACCGCCGCCTACGCATGCCGCTCCCGACTTGCCACGGCAGATGCGGACCGACACAGGGCTGTGGGGAACGAGTCGACCGACTCGGTGACCACGCGCTCGCTTGCCGGCGAACCGGCCTTCAAGGGCTTCAAGCTTTTGAAGCCCTCTTCGAAGCCTTCGAGACCCCTTCGTTTCCCCCTTCGCTTCCCCCTTCGAAGCCATCGAAGCCCCCCTTCGCCCCCCTTAGTATTCTCACATGTATTCTCACTAGAACCCCTTCTGCGCCCTATCCACGCGCATTTCGGCCAAAGCTTCCTCGAAGTCTTGCGCATTGCGCATTCAAGCAGTATGGGACCGAAATAGCATGCATCCACGCCCATTTCGGCCAAAACTTTTTCGAAGTCTTGCGCATTCAAGCAGTATATGGTCCCTGCGCCCACGCAGTTCGGAGGTGAACATATCCTGGATTTGATTTGCGATTACGTCGCGACACATTGGCGAGGATGCTCCTCCTATGCTCCACCTTGCCGAAGGGCGCCAACCGTATCAGACACATCCTGTCGCTTTGTCCACATGCATGGAACCAGGATCCCAAAAACTTCGGGTCTTCCCAATGTGCTCTGGCACATCGTCCGGATGACGTGACCAAGTGTCCTTCCAGAAGGGGTTGTTTGCGCCACTTCCGTCGTGACTTGCTTTTTCCTACCTCCGCACCGAGGCTCTCGTGGGGGGCAAAAGTTCGACCGTAAACTTATTGTAAATCTGCGCAGAGGTTGTTTTTTTAATGAAGATGGCATTATTCAATTATGCCTAAAAGCGGTGCACCGTACAAACCACAAGCACCATAGCCACGACTCACAACACATAAAGATATTTCGATAAAAAATTAGACTCGTGCAACCTCCCCGGGGTGTCGACAATTACACCGACTCAGAGACAGGTTCAGCCGCTAGGGCTGGATATTGAGTTTTCTTTTTCCCATACACACGCCCTTTTGCTGTTCACGCGGTCCCACTGTTTTGGCGCCGAAATCCAGGGCCAGACTACGGAAAGGCAGCAAAGCATGTGAGGGCATGCGGCTGGCGAAAGGAGGTGCGGCCGATGGTTCGGCGAGGAGGTCACTGAGGACGAGGGATCTCTGGTCGACATTGGCTGCACAGTAAAGCGGTATATAGGGGGAGGAGGTTGCTCGCGAAGGCACGGGCAGCGGCACATGCGAGCAGGGCGGATCGTAGCACGTAGGCAGAGATGCATGCACGTTGTAGTTGTGTGGGAGCAGACCGGGCTCGGCTGCAAAACGAAGCCTATCAAGCGGAGCCTGGATCTAACACAGAACCCCTCGCACGGTCTCAGGGCTCTTTTCTCCATCCCTGTGAGCCTTCAGATCACGGCGCATCTCTGCACATGCGCATCTGACCAACACTGGACATGGAGGCTTGTTTAGCACTCCTCTATTTTTCTTTGGTCGATGCGCCCTTATTGCGCCAAGCGGCATTCGCCTGTCCTTGGCCCCGTTACGACTTTCCACCAACGTGACCAAAGGCCGTTCCATGAACTTCCTGAAGCCATCGCGGAGGCTTCGGCTCCTCTTTGTAAGAGCATCTGCCTTCTGCTCTTCCGTGGGAACCCAACGCAGCGACCGACAGTTTTGGCGTAGGCCAACGATGTCAATCTCCACCCTTTTCTCCTGCAGGCCTGAGCTGAGCCTGTGCACAGCGTCCCACAGGGAACGAGCATCAGTGACTGGAAGGATGCCGAACAAGGGTCGCTCCTGCATCGTGGCCTTGAAGTTGGGGTCCACCAGCTCACTCAACACCATGGCCAAGTAGTGGGCATGGTCGTTGGCGTGGTCCAGAGAGGCGGCCTCAGCTGCCAAAGTAGATCGCAAGACCCTCTGGTGTTGGAAAGACTTCCATTCCATCATAGATGCCGGACGTGTTTCCTCGAGGACCTTCTTGTCGGTAGCCACGATAACCAGTCCCCCTTGAGAGCGGTGGTTAGGGGCATTCGCGAAGCCGGAGTCGGCATAAGCCACCAGAGCCAGCTCGTCGAAGGGCACCGGGACAACGCGGTAGTACTTCGGCTACATAACTGGCTTGATCAACCGTAAGCGTCCCATCCTCCCACTGCCGGATTCGGCGCCCAATGAACACAAAGTCCGAGTGCTCCCATGGGCCACCCCACTCGAAGGCACCTTCCACGGACGTGAGCTGGAGCTTGTCTGCCACGTGCAGATACCACCTTCGAGGGGCGTTGGCCTGTCCATAAACCGGGGCACTCAGCTTGTAGAGCAAGTACTCGGAGCTCCATTCGTCAATGGCACCCTGGGAGACGGGATCGGTCGGCGGCTTCATGAAGATCGGCTCGGGACGCTCTGTATCTGCCTTTCCCTGCAGGAAGGCCGATTTGCAGTCCGCATTCCATAGCCGAACACCGTGGGTGGTGGCCCACTGAAGAATGGCCGAGAAGCCAGCTCTGGACAGGACCGGTGCATCACGTGTAAGGAGCGGTAAATGTGGGTCAGGAAATCCAGCGATCACTATCCGTGCCTTGGGCTTGAAGCTGCCATCGGCCTTGGGTTTCCAGCGAAAACATACCCTGGATTTCAGGATCAAGTGTGCCGGAATCTTCTTGGGGTCCAGCCAAACCGGTACACACGAGCTCCACTTTGTCCACTCGGACCACTCGGCTTTCAGAGCCTCCCGAAACTGTGGTATCTCCTCATCGGTCATGGCCTTCCATGGAAGCTCCTTCTTCTTGGCCTGGCGGGCAGCTCGGCCTGATTCGAAGGTGCCGTCATTCCCGTCCTCGGAGCTATTCTCCATGCCCGTTACGAACTCACCGGTGGCATTCGCCACCTGGTCTGCGGACTCGTAGGACGGGTGAGCCTCGTAGACGGAGAGTCCAGCTGGGTTGCGCCGTAGGTTCGCGGATCTCCTCGTCGCTGGACTCCACAGCCGTAGTGCAGGTCGTCGGGTAAGCGGTCCGAACGGGTCGAGGATTGAACCCGAGTCGGCAGAGACGTGAACGGTCTGCTTGAGTTGTCTCTGTCACCAAGCGGCTCGTATAAGCCACAATGGACCATCGTTCTCCCTGGAACTCCTCGGTGGCATGGACGTGGTCCGGGGAGAAGGACACGAGGTTCTTCTTGGTGTTGCAAAAGTAGCCGGGAATCGTCTCCCCGAAGTAGTTCCTGGTGACAGTACGACCGTCGGACTCCTTTGTCTGGAACCAAGTACGGCCTCCCTTGTAGTTGCCGAGGGTGATCTGCCAGTTGAGGCTGCCCTTCAAGTTGTGATTGTCTCGATGCGGGGCAGCGGGGTGTTCTTACTGATACTCAAACTGGTAGTGCATCCCGTGAGGCCGTGCGACCGGAGGTAGTCATTCAAGTACCGGCAAAGCCATCGATGCTTCTGAGTGACCTTGGTGCAACCAAAGAAGTTGCCGTGGCTGTAGAGGCCGAGCGTCATAGCCTGGCTGCCGTCCTCGCCTTGTAGACATTGTCGGCCGGAAGACGGGAGATCGACTGTGTCGAGCAGTTGGTGACAAGCATCGTGAGAAAAGTCGCAGTCACCCAGAAGACGCTTGGCCACAGTCTCTGACAAGGAGCGGCTTTGTCTTCTCGTCGAGGTAGTAGAGGAGGTAGCCGGAAGGTGGTCGCCGAAGTGATGGGCCGCAGTGAGAAACGCAGTTGACTCGTAGAGCTGCAGCTCCTTCGGGTTGCCATCCCAGCCAACATGATGTTGATCACCACGTGCATGTCGATGTAGAACCTGAAGGCGATGGGAAAATTGCGAAGAGGTAACGCTTGAAGAATTGAAAGAAACATTGTGGTGGTAGTCTATCTCGTCAAGCTCGGTCCGCGAAGGGTCCGTCACGGAGCTCGCCATAGATCCGGGGGCAGGCTCGAAGTGAGTGTCGAAAGCATCTCTCTCCAGCGCCTCGTCGAACCAAGACCGAACTTGCAAGGGGCTATCCACCTGGTGGGTGCTATTGCACCGAACACAAACGGACTGACCGTCCTGAACTTCGCGACGTTGTTCGCCGCAGTCTCGACAGTAGGTCAGAAAAGCATCCAAAATGGGCTCAGGTGAGGGATCTGTCGCAATGTCGGGGAGCACTGTCATCTCTGGAATGCCAGGTCCTGGTTGAAGCGGAGCGCGCCTAGCAGCGTCTGGACTCGGTTCTAGCTCCTCGACAGGGACAGTTGGGGCACGCTTGAGACCACGAAGCTCTGGGTACTCCTGATGCATAAGCTTGGCCAGCTCCTTGGACAAACCAGTGCTGCTAGCTGTAGCTGAAGACACACCACGGGTCAACGAACCAGAGTCCCTGCGTGATTCGATCTGAGATTCCGAAGCTGGCGGTCCGACTGAAGGATCACTCCTGACTACAGTACCAGAGTCCCTGCGTGATTCGATTTGAGATTCCGACACTGGCGGTTCGACTGCAGGAACTTCTCCTTCGGGTACAGGTGGTAGTGGAGCAAGTAGCCGTGAAGGCGCCGGGGATCGAGACCTTGGAGCTCTCGGTCGAGGCGTACCCGGCGCTTGTAGAGCCTGCAAGGTTGGAGTCGAAGGTGCCCTAGCCGCTTTCGGAGTGGGAGGCACAAGCAACACCGGATTCATCATGGCCGGCGAGTCTATCGGGTTGCCGTCCGCATCGAGGAGAACAGCTGGCGCATCCTGTCGCTCGAGCTCATTCAAAGCGGCCTGGTCCTGACGAGCGGCAACAGCCGCAGGTGGAGCCTGCCCACGAACATCGAAACCAGCAGTCTCGGTGGGCAGCAAATCCCGGTCAGTATTTTTAAGAAGGTCCAGATCCGATTGATCTGGTGTCCACCACTCTTCTTCACCGGCAACGGGGCGGCGCTGTTCACGAGCAGCTTGCACGATGCGGCCGCGAGAGTTTTTGATCCAAACATTGCCGGAGGTGCCAAGGTCGACAGCAAGAACGGTGCCGAGGCGGTAGCCTTCAACAGAACCTTCGCCATCGAAAGAATTCTTCACGCGATAGTAGGCGATACGCTGACCAACCTCAAAGGGACCACAGTAGAGCCTGGACTTGCGAAGCAAAGCCGTACGGAGGCTCTGACTGGCTTCAAAGCGGTGGTGGTGGACCATGGCCTCCGTGCGAACACGCTCAATCAACTGCAATCTCTCGCTGTCGGAGGTGAGCTGGCAGGATTCGATATTCCCACCATCGGACAACAAGGCAGCTGGGAGTTTTGGCTGTCTACCAAACACCCACTGGCAGGGCGAAAACCCGCCACGTCGGATAAGGGTTTTTTCGCATGTGTGGCCATCACCACACAAAGGTTCATTTCCGGCACGGTGGTTGGAGCGAATTGGCTCACCAGCCGGGACACCACAAAACGTAGAGCTTGTCCGTGGCGTTCGGCACGACCAAGTTGCCAGTGAGCATCCGAGGGAATGCACCGGATGCGGGTGCCACACTGCACCTGCAAGGTCTCGAAGCGAAGTCCTCGGAACGCTCCCTCATCATCCAGAACAAGTTCGTCGGGTGCACCAAAGAAGCAAAGCCATCCGCCGACCAAGGCCTTGATAATCGTGGTCTCCTGGCGGTCGGGGATGTTTTGCGCAACATGGTAACACGTGGTACATGTGTTGCACACCCTGGATATTCTTCAGGAAGACGATATCGCAGTAGACCCGGTCACTGAACCTCCGAGGATGGAAGGCACGAGCTGGTCGTGGTTCTCGAGGTGGTGCCACCCGCCTGCAGACTTCACATTGAAGGGCGCGTGCACCTTTGATGGCCATACTTGAAGCATTGGCCAAAACCAGCTGCCGCACAAGGGTTTCCTTTGCTGGGTGGCCCAGATTCACATGTAGGCGTCGTAGGACTCCACGCATCCATCTGGGCACCTCATCAGTGACGCCCGGGAAGGAGATATCACGGTAGCCTGGCTCATGGGGGCGCATAACGTCCTGTTCGTCGGGCTGCATTGGGCCTGCAGTTGGGGCCTTGGCAGGTTCAGGCTTAGCGTCATCCTCCTCGTTCAAACTTGTTGAAGGGGCGACGCCATAAAAGAAGATGCCCACCTTGACAGGGCGATCAAACTTGGCCGAGGGGGAGCTGAGGACCTTCTTCAACACCTCGGCTTCCATCACCACAGTGGCGTCGTTCATCAAGAGCACGGCACCGCGGTGAGTGGCACCCTCCATCAGCACATCATTCGGCACTCTCCGCTGCTTGGGCGTGCGACAAATCTGTACTCGGTTCAGAGTCCACGGCACCAGGGAGCGGACTTGCTCCAGATAAGGCGATGGCTTCAGAGTCACCCTCGTGGAAACCAGATCTTTCAGCCGGGACTCTGCTTCCTTCAGAAGGGGAAGCCACGATTCTTGGTGCCGGGTGATGTCGAGAAAGTAGACTGAGTGTACAGTCTCTTCATCCGCATGCCAAGTGTCCAATTGATCGATGGAGCTGGCATGCGCCTGAACATTGGTGCAGAAGCGCTCATCCCCACATCGATGTAGAGCCTGAAGCACGCCGTTCACAAAGGCGCGTGCCAAAGTTGGCGGGTACACTTGGGCCTGCTTAGTCACGGAGCCGCCCAAACATTGACCATGCTCGTGGGAGCCATCACACTCAACCGCAAGGGAGTCCAGCAGCTCTGGGAGGTCGCTTAGCCAGCCTGTTGGCTTCTTGAGGAGCTGCCCTTGTCGAGTGCGCATGTCGAACATACACATGTGGCCTTTGCGAAGCTGGACCTCGGGCTTGGCCGTCAACCTGCGCAGAGCATCACAAGTCCAAAAGGGCGTGCCATAGGGGTACTCGATCAAAAAGTGGACCCCGTAGGTGCGCAGTTCGAGGATGGTATCGACCATGTGATTGAGTTCTCGCTCCTGCGCTGCCCTCTTCACCTTGAGTTCGTCGGGGGTGTAGTTGAGGTGCTGAACAGGAGACCACCATGTACACGGCGGTTCCCAGACCACAACAAAGGGAAGCCACTTGAGGAGGTAGTAGCGGAGGTGGTCAAAGTCAGCCTTGGTGCGCAAGCTCTGGCCGTAGATCTCGTCAATGGGCTGAAGGACACGTAGACCAGCGTTGATGGCATACTCGGTGAAGTGGGCATGGCCACCGTAGACCTCGACAACATCAGCCCGATGTTTGCGCAACAAACGACCCGCTCGAGCTCGGCTCTCATACACACACGAGCCTCAGTTTCCCACAGTGAACTCAAGCTCCGAGCTGCGCCCCTCAATCGCTTCCTGTCCCCCTGTTTCAAGCTGAAACAGCCTCGGTCCTCGCTCGTCAATGGATCATCTGGCGAGCCCCAAAGAAGAGGAGCTTGACCTAGTACTCCTCTTCGTACTCCTCCATGGCCTGGCGCTCCTCGTCCTGGGCTTCCTCGTCCGCTAGGATGTCCTCCTCCCATTCCTCCGGCTCGATGCCCAGGGCCGGAGTCAACAGGTCCGGTCCCAACAGCTCCCCTCTGGCGTTGTTCCTTCCAGGACCGAAAGGGTGGATCCGGGGCCGGTGGCTGGCTGCTCGACACACTCATGTTGTCCGAGTCGTATCCACGGCTCGTCCCCCGCCACTGCCTCGACCTCTGAAAGCCATCCGAGTCCATCGCGAAGACCTGAGGAGGCGCTCGAGGCGGTGGTCCCTTGGCCTTCAGCTTGGCTTTGGGTCCCGCTGCCGCTGACGGACCAGATGCCCGCAACCACGCTGAGGAGGGCCGCAAGGAGCTTGGGGATGGCATCCTGGGCGCGGCCGCTGCGACGGTCTTGGCCTTTGCTTTTGCGGGGAAAAGCTTGGCCTTGGCGTTCTCGGACAGGTTGAGCGGCGTCATTGAACTCGGAGTGGCCTTCGGAGTCGCCGGTATAAGGTTGCCGGTCGTGGAGTTCACCACCGCCCTGTATCCGCACACGTCGCAGATCATGATGGACATCCCTGAGGCCGCGTACTTCCGGAGACCCGATGGGTGGTGGCAATCCTCCGGAGACTTCAGGTAGCGATCCTGACCCAAAACCTTCTGTGCCGTCATTGCCGCCGTCGTAGAGTCGTAGAGAGCGTGGTTGCCGCCGAGCTCGGAAGTGCGAAGTGCCTGAGCACTGCGTCCTTCAAGTTCGGATGCAGAGAAATCGCTGAGTAGTGCAGCAGGGTCTGGCACACCGTGGTCACAAACTCCAGGAAGCGCGCCATCAGCATCTGCCAGCGCACAAGCCATGATGGTGGCGGCATGAGGCGGAGGGCGCGAAATCGAATTGGATGACCTGCTTCGGCGAGAAGGCGCCCTTACACCAAGCATCAGGAGGTCCACTCAAGGCAAAGGGTGGACAATCGGGCATTGGCCAAGCGAACTCATGCAGGGGCCACTCATCAATCTTCAAAGCGAGGTGACCACATGGGGACAAGTAAAGCTTGGTGACTGCATTGTTGAGCGCCTTGAAAACGATTTGCCCTTCAACTAGGTCAGGTACAGCTCCCAAGGCCTCAAGAGTACGACGACTAAGTAGCCCCGGAGCAGCAGCACTGACTTCACTCACCGCAAGAAGCACGCAATGTCCAGCAATGCCAGCAGGGTAGACATGTCGCCCTAAACTCGGGAGTCCTGGGCCTGGACCAAAGCTGAACTTGCAAGCCTCTGGGAAAGTGAGCCTGCGAAGTGGAGCGATCTCAGCAGCTTTTTGCGAATGTCAAGCCGATCCAGCCACCTGCCTTTGGCAGCCAGTGTCAGTGATCAAGAACGAAGCATCCTGGCATGTTGTCAGAAGCACCGACGGTGGTCTGGGGACCTCGTAGCAGATCTCCGACTTATCCTCGGCAGGCGTCGCAGTCATCATCCAGGAGACGAAAGGGTTGCCTTCGGCGTCCATCTCCACATTGGCCGTCGCGAGCTGGGCCTGGAAGGTCGACATCGTCGGGCAGTCTTTTACCCAGTGCTCGGATGAGCCGCATCCCAGGCAAAGAGCACCTCGCAGTCGAGCTTGTCGCTGCGGGTCAAAGCCAGCTTGACCCTTGGTCTTGCCCTTGCCCTTCGGGATCGTAGGATTGCCGCCCTTCGGAGCGCCACCCTTCTGAAAAGGCTTTCCTTTGCTTTTGCCCTTGCCCTTGCCACGGCCAGACTTGCCTTTGCCCTTGCCTTTAGGGTCCACTTGGTAGAACCCGCGAGCCTGCATGATGCTCGAGAGCTTCCTTGAGGACACCGTCAAAGCCTGGGCCATCGTGTAGAGGGCGTCGTAGTCCTCGTTCGTGCCGTCCTCATACTCCCAGGTGTCCGCCTCTGCGATCTCCTGGGTGCCATCATCCTCAGCCTCCTCGTTGTACTCGCCGTCAACTGGTTCGCCCTGTTCTTCCTGCGGAGCTTCCGCAGGTTCAGTTTCTTCATCTGGCCATTCTTCTCCTTGTGGTTCTCCTTGTGGTTCCTCGGCATAATCATCCTCGGCGGCAGTTTGCCACTGGGTCCATCTGCTGCCGCGTCCACGAGCTCGAGGTGCACGCGTGGTAGAGGAAGCAGAGGAGCGCGTAACCGCAGTAGACCGGGAGGTAATCGATGAACGTGACGATGTAGCCAAAGAAGCCAGTCCTTTAGGAACCCCTGTGACAGACATGCCGGCGGGGTACTGGATGCGGATGGCTTCCAAGATTGCCTTCATGTCGTACTTGTTGCCAGCTGCCAAAAGGAGAGCGGAAGCGCTCTTCTCGTCAAGTCTCAAGCCATCGAGAAGCTTGATGACCCTCGCCTGCTCTGGGTACGGCGGCACCTTGTTGTCAGCCAACTTTCGCTCCAGCAAGCGAAACCTCCTGACAAAAGCGGTGATGCTTTCACCCTGCATCCTGCCGATCGACTCAAACTCCCTGATCGAGCCGCCTTGGCGAAAGATCTCCCTCTCGCCAAAAGAAACCTCTAAGTCCGCCAGCAAGCGAGAGATTCCGTCGGGGTGGTCGAACCTTGAGTCATCGATCTCCTCGAACTCCTGCTTGGCTTCACCTCGTAGTTGCTCTAATGCCCTCAAAGCCTGCTCATTCGGAGGAAGGAACTCACGAGTGATTCTCACCCAACGCATAAGCCTGCGCCGGTAATGTCGAAGACAATACGGCTGGGCCTCGATGCACCAGAGCGCCACCGCGGCGCCGAAGAGGTCGAGGAAGGGTTGCCAGTAGTCTTGGCACCTCCGCGGGAGCCCCTTTTTCTGCGCCTCGCTGAAGGATCACCTGACAGAGTGCTCGTAGCCCGGGAGCCACCAGCATCGTCATCCTCCAGATGTTCGTCGTCCTCGTCGTCGTAGTTCGATGCTGCGCCGGTGCCCGGGAAGAAGTCCTGGTCATCCACATCGCCAGCATCAGCGCCCACGGCGCCATTCTCGGTGCCTCCTCCGCCTTCAGCAGACATGTAGTTGAAGTCGAACAGGTCAGCATCGAAAAAGGCAGCCATAACCGGGGAACGTGTCACCGGGCGGTCGCTACCAATGCAAAACGAAGCCTATCAAGCGGAGCCTGGATCTAACACAGAACCCCTCGCACGGTCTCAGGGCTCTTTTCTCAAACGCGTTTCCCATCCCTGTGAGCCTTCAGATCACGGCGCATCTCTGCACATGCGCATCTGACCAACACTGGACATGGAGGCTTGTTTAGCATCGGCAACGGGCAAGGGGTCGGAGGAAGGTAACAGCTCCCGCGCTCCACCTGCCGCCGGTTTTTATGCTAAGCACGACTAGGTGGCAGCGTCCGGAGTTGTAAGTGCGCTAATTCGCCCGGCGAGCGTGGCGCAAGGCAGCCCCGGCAGTGAGCCTGGCCTCACGCCTGGGCTCGCCGGGGCTCGCCGTTGAGTTTCGCCATCATGTTTTCCTTTTTCCATGCCAGCGTACCAGCGCTACAGCGACCCTCCGCCCGGCGCCGCAAAGCGTGAGGACGTGCTCGAGGGCAGGCTGCTGGTCTGTATAATGTTTGAGGACATGCAGAAACATGCGATGATGCTGGAAGCGAAACATGATCGGTGAGCTTTTGTCGTGGTTATAGTTATAATGATGACAGGGAGCCACGTCGCTGCCTGTCGTTGGTCTGGTGTTCTTCGGGCACGGGGCGGTCCGCTCGAGCGTGCAGCGGCTCGGGTTTGCCGTGAGGCTGGTGCTACAGTTGCCACCAACTGCCTTGTCCGAGATCTCAACCTCGATGCCTCCAGACATGACGAGCGTCGCATTGCGGTCATCGCCAATGGATTGCCGTTGTGGGGTGGCTCCCAACTAGCTGTTGACACGACGTTGATGTCGCCACTCACTTCTGCCGGTGTGCCCCGTCTGGCGGCACTGCAGGAGCTGCCTTGGTTGAGGCCCGCCGGGCCAAGGAACGCACTTACCCTGAGTTCGCTGGTGCCCATCGGTGCCGACTCGTTGTCCTTGGCCTCGAGGTTGGGGGTCGCTGGAGTGCAGAGGCAGCCACGTTCATCCTTTTGCTTGCAAGGGTACGCTCTCGAAGCGCTGCTCCCTCGCAGCGGGCAGCATGCGTTGCTGCTTTTGTCGCAAGGTGGTCTAGGTTTCTCTGTGTCGCAGCCGCGCCTTCCTTCGCAGCCAGCTTGCTGTCCCTTCCAATCTCCAACACTGCCAACATTGACGGCGAGCCGCTGCTCCTGAGTGACGTCCTCCCAGATTCGTCGGAGGTGCCGCCACTTGCCTCCCGCCTGTCGTAAGCTTCGGCCAGGTCAGGTGGTGTGGGGTCTTGTCCGTCTTCTCGTCGATCAGGTTGCGCCCGGTAGTTTGCTGCACTGAGACCGCGCTCGGATGTTTGCAAAATGGTTCCGAAAAAAACCGATCTGCGCTGTTCGAAAGCACTGCAAAGCAGTTTCCCACGACAATAAAGCTCGGTACAAGCAAAATGTGTCATGCAGACAACATAGTGTATACCAGCTTGGCTGCACTGTTCTCGGTAAGTGTTTGCAAGTTTTGCCGGTACGTGAACTGAGCGTCCTCAACTCATGTCAGTGCCATCACAGAGGCCTCTTCGTTGGGCTGTCACCTCTGTGGGGCAAACAGCCCCCCTGCACGACTGTAAACCTGATTTTACTGTAATCTCTGGAATGTTGTTGGAAGTTTTTTATGGAGTTTTAATTCAGAAGCATCCACGTGAAAGCAGCTGAAATCAGCGACAGCTTGATCATTGAATCAACCGTGGCAAATTCCGCCACAATTGGTGCATCAACTTTTATTTCGTTGTTATTTTTTTTACAGACACCCTTTTGTTCCTGCCCACTTCCTCTCCGGTCAGCAAGGTCTACGGGAGCCCAAGGCCTACATGCTACTACTACGCCTAGGCTCGCAGCGGCAGGCGGCTCGACCCTTCGGCCTGCGGTCGGACGGAGAACCCTCGATGCTGGTAGCATGTGGTGGCTGGGGCCACGGCTGGCCCAGGACAGTGCTAGCAACCGCCTGCTGCACTGCGACAAAGCATGCCCCACCAGCGACGCGTCCAGCCTGAAGCCGCTGCAGCGCGTAGATCCGGCGGTGCTCGGTGTAACACCGTAGTCGAACCAGGTCGCGCCAAACGGTGCGCATCGCTGTTGAAGCGCCCTCCGACCTTCGCCAAGTACGACGAGCTTTTGAAGCGCTTGAACTACAGGGACACCACCGAGATGAGTTGGCGATTGGGACAGTGGGCAGTACTTGCCTTGGCACATGTGTGCTGCCACCTGCCTTCGCGGTATTGAAACCTATAGACACGTTGCCAACTCCTTTCCAAGATGAGGAACAGGAACGCGGAGATGCGCACCACAAGGAGTTGTCAAAGCAGGCTTTGGCGGGGTTCGAAATGTGCTCGGCACAGGGCATCAGCGACGTGCCTGCAGCTTGGAGGCGCTTAAAGCTTGCGTTTTCACCTATTCGGTGCAAGATTCCTTGGCTGCTTCGATCGTGTCTGGGCCATTGCCGGCACGCTGATAGAGGAGCTTTGTGATCTTTGTGGAGAGCTGCGCTTTTGGATGCAAGTGGTTGGTGAGGACGTGACATCCGGGCACATGCTCGGTGGGCGTAACAGATAATGTTTGTCTACATGTACAGGTAGGAGTTTACTTTGACGGACAGGAAGGGGCGCAGGGCTCCGGAGTGGGACGGGTGGAAGCTCGCGGAGGCTTGGAGGCATGCATGTCATTTGTGACTCCCTAGGCTCTTGGGACGTTCTTGAACGTTTGTCTTCACGAACCTTGTTGTCCGACAGCCGACCAGGGAGTCACAAATGACAGGTGGTCAACGGCTGAAAATGGAGACCCTTCCAGGGTTTTGGTACATGCCAGCACATGCACCCGATTGTTTTGATTTTTGAAACGGAAAACCGGGAGTCACAAATGACTGTAGTCAGTTTGCCGGAATCTGCAATATTTCCTAGGTGCGGTGCTAATTTTTAAGAAATCCTAGTTTTCCTTCGGCGGGGTGCATTTTCTTGGCTGAAAATGCAGTTTTTCCCAGGCGCGGTGCACTTTCGCATGAAAGTAGTGTTTTTTCCCTAGGAGGGGTGTATTTTTCGCACAACCAGATGCTTGCTTCCCATATAGAAGTAATATACAATATATATGATAATATATATATATATAATAGACAATATATATTTAATCTATAATATGTAATATAAAACCTATCATGTATCATATATAACGCAAAATACGTAACATGCAACAGAAGATATACAATATAAAATGCACAGTAAAAAATATACAACACATCAAAAATAATATATAATATGCAGTATGTATTATAGAATGTTTAGTATGTAGTATATATAAAACGACCTACAATACAAGATAAATAGTATATAATAAATAACATATAAATTCTGAATGTAAAATATATAGTATATTACATATAATTTGTTAATATGTAATATATATATATATATATTATATAATATATACTATATAATATATATTATATAATATATAAAAGATAATATATATGAAATAAATATTTAATAAAAATAAATGTAATATATAATATAATAAAAAATAAAAGAAAAATATAAAACAAAGAGATATATATATACAATAAGATATAGATAAATATATAAGATATATATATACTATAAGAGTCATAGATAATATAAATATAAATAGGTATTAATATATAATATATAATATATAGTATGTAATAATAATAAGCTTAATGTATAATAGATAATATATATAATCTATAACAAACAATGGATATATAGTATATTAATATATATATGTTAAATTATATAATATAGAAATATATAATGGGGATTGCTGGAATATAGAATTACCGACTAATAAAATATAGGAAATAGCATATAGAATATAGCATATAGGAATATTTAATAGAGACGTTGGCATATATTATTATAGAAGATGTAATAATATGAATATTTAATATATGAATATGTTAATTATATAATATAAAAGATAGAATATATAATAGAAATAGATAATATATACGATATAATATTAATAGGATAAAATAATATAGAATGTAGAAACTAGTAAATTATAAAATATACAATTAGAATGTAGTATGTAAATCTAGATACATAATATATCATAGATTATATATAAATTTACAATCTAGACCATATATTATCTATTAAATAATAATAACATAGAATATTAATATATAAAAATATGGTATATAATTTTTCTTGGTATTAGAATATATAATATTAAGGAGGTATATATAATATATAATAGATAATCGAGAAGAGATACTATAATATGAATATAATAGGTATAGATGAGATATTATATAATGACAGTAAATATATAAAAGAGAATATATAAGATATAATATATAATGAAGTAATATTTAATATATATAATAAATTATAATATATAACATATAATAGAATATAGTTAATTTTTAATATATGATATATAACATGTGTTATATAATATATATCATATAATATATAATATATTATATATAATATATAATATGTAATATATAACATGTAAATTATATAATATATAATATATAATATATAATATATAATATTTAATATATAATCTTTAATATATATAATATAGATCATATATTATATGTAATATATAATATATGTATTATATAACAAGTAATATGTAATATTTACTTGTAATATATAATAAATTATACATAATATATAATACATACTCTATAACCTTTAATATATAATATATAAGGTATAATGTGCAATGTATAATGTATAATATTACATAGTTAAAATA